CGGGAACGGACTCAGAGTCACACACTGCCAGGCATTGGCGGTGTGGCCGCCCGCCCAGGGGTGGACGCGGCTCCTCCAGCAGCGCCCTGGTCCGGTCTGAGCTCCTGCTGCTGCTGGCCGCTCCCAGCGCCCCTGACCCGGCACGGAAAGCTGAGGACTGGGGTCTCCCTGCCCCAGTGCCTGACCGGAAACCCCCCACTTTGGGGATGGGGGACCACTGTCAAACTTGAGCGCCAGAGGCCCTCGGCCCAGCACCCCCGCCCCCATGTAAACACCCATGTCGTCGGAAAGAAGTCCTGGGTGGCCTATGTGACACAGGCAGGCGACAGCCAGGCACTGCCCGGCGTCCTGGCCCTGGTGAGCCAAGTGCCAAGAGAGGCAGCAGGGCTGGGCACAGCGGACCTGGGAGGTCAGGGAGTCGTGGGGCGGCCCAGTTGCTGGAGACATCTCAGCCACCAAGGCCCCTGGTAGGGAGGGTCCTGGGGTGGAGGAGACACGTTCCGCCCAGGGAGACGGGACTGTGCCTCTGAGCGCCCCAGGGGTCCCATCCGCCAGCAGCGGGGGGCGGCCAGGTCCCACTTCTGACTCCCTCCCCGCGGAAGCCTTAGGCCGGACTGTGGCGTCTCCTCTGCACCACGTGAGGGCATCCATCCGGGGTGCCCAGTGTTCCCCAAGGCTCCCCGTGACCTGCCTCCTCACGCCCTCGGGTCCCCCTGCTCAAGCACCGCAAGAGGCTGGCTCTCCTCTCCCACCTTTCAAAGTAGACAGCCCTCCTGCAGCCTCGGGGCTCAGGCTCCTTCCTGGAGTCGGGGGCAGTTATGGGCAGGGGCCTCTGGACGCTGCTCCATCTCAGTCGATGGAAGGAAAATCTAGCCTCCTTCTAGGGCCGTGGTTCTCAACCTTCCTAATGCCTCGACCCTTTAATGCAGTTCCTCATGTTGTGGTGACCCCCAACCATAAAATTATTTTCGTTGCTACTTCATAGCTGTAATTTTGCTACTGTTATGAATCGTCATGTAAATATCTGATATGCAGGATGTATTTTCATTGTTACAAATTGAACATAATTAAAGCATAGTGATTAATCACAAAACACTATGTAATTATATATGTGTTTTCTGATGGTCTTAGGCGACCCCTGTGAAAGGGTCGTTCGACCCCCCAAAGGGGTCGTGACCCACAGGTTGAGAACCGCTGATCTAGGGGCCTTGGAGGAGGAGAGGGTGGGGGGGTTCCGTTTCTTATTATCACTCTCAGATCCAGGTCCCTTTGCCGTGGGGACCCCGCACCCTGCACCCCGTCTGGGCTGAGACTGAGCGCACTGCCCTGGGCCGCCCCCCTAAACTCCTGACAGTTTCCCAGAACCGGTGCGGCGGCCTTCCCAGGGGCTGCCCCAGAAGTTTCACTGGGACGTGGAAAGCTAGTAGAAGAATTACTTATTTTTATCTCAGTCTTTTAAAATATATATTTCGATTGATTTCAGAGAGGAAGGGAAAGGGAGAAAGAGATAGAAACATCAATGATGAGAGGGCATCATTGATCGGCTGCCTCCTGCACGCCCCACATTGGGGTCAAGCCCACGACACGGGCATGTGCCCTTGACCAGGAATCGAACTGTGACCTCCTGGTTCATAGGTCAACGCTCAACCACTGAGCCACGCCAACGGGGCTATTTTTACCCCAATCTTTACAAGTTTTACGTGTGTCTGTGGTGCAGGACGTGTTTGCACAGTAGCACAGCATATAATTCATAAGCGGATGCATAGATCTATTTCGTGAGCGCACACTGACATCCTGCCTGTACTGAAGAAACGCTGGGGGAGCACTGGCCGGAGGGTGGAACGGAACCCCTTAGCCAGCCTTCACTCGCTGGCCTCTTGTCTCTCCGGCTTCATCTACTATTCCTCCCTCTCCTCCTCCCCTGGTGCGTCCCCCGTGTCCCCTGTGACATCACTGCCCTGCTGCCACTTACCTTCCTGTTGCTGGAACGTTGGCTTTTAGGCCCCTGGCAGGGCCTTCGGTCTGAGGAGCACCCTTCCTGCAGCCCAGCTCCTCTTTGAAGCTTCCCTGGTGCTGACAGCTCCCAGCGTGCCCGGCCGGCGCCGTTACTTGCCTAAGTCACTCTGTGATGGTGACTGTTTAACTTAGTGCATTGGTCTGGACTACCCACCCCTTGAGGGCCAGGCCCACGTCTAGTCCGTCTACAGCCAGAATAGACTGAGGTCTATTTCCCTGGCACGGGGGCGCGGGGGGCAGGAGAGGGGGCAGCGGGGCCCAGGGAGGGTAATCATCTTCACAAGGTCAGGTCTGCTGACCTTAGTAATCAGCTTGAGCCTCCTAATCCATCACAGCAGGAGCGTAGGACGCATAGCAGTGGCCTGGGAGCCGGCAGGGGCCATCTTGGCCTCCTTGGCAGACTCCGCCTGGGAGGGGATGGGGCAGCCGAGCCATGTGCACCACCCTCCTCCTGCTCAGCACCTTGGCTATGCTCTGGCGCCGACGATTTGCCAACCGGGTCCAACCGTGAGAGACTGACTGGGCCATGGGCTGGGGTGGGGGGAGAAACTGCATGGCCAAGCTGGAGGGGGGCAAGGCTGCCTGCACCTCCAGGGCAGGGGGGGCTCCAGGGGTTTGCAGGGATTCCCCGAGAGGCTCCCCCCATCAGAGTAGGGGACTTGGAACTCTTCCAAGACATTGGCTGCCGCCACCTCCGGTCAGTCCCACAGCCCCAGGTGGCCAGGCCCTCCGAGGAGCAGGAGAGGGGCCTGGGCTCCGGCCCACAGCTCTTCCCGCCTGCCCTTCCCTCCCACAGAGAGCCCAGCGAAGTAGATGGGGCCGTCCTGGGCGGCAGCCTGCAGACAGACACCCAGTCCCCTGGCAGGTAAGGCAGAGAGAGTCTGGGGTGGAGGAGGGTGTTGCCAAGGAGGGTGTTGTCCTGTCCCTGTCCCTGTCCCCGCTTGGGGAGGTACATGGTGGTGCGCAGGCTGTGTGCTGGCCCCTGGCCCCCTGGTGTCTGGTGGGCAGGCTCAATGCCTGTGTTCTTTCTCCAGCCTGCCCCCTGGGCCAGAGCTGCTCTGCTTTGCTTGTCCGGGAGGGGAGGTGGCCCGTCCCTTCGTCCTTTCGGTAGGATGGTAGGATGCTCAGGGGGATTGGAGAGAGGGATGAGGCCGCTCTGCAGGCTTCCCTGCCTTCCCTTCCCTCCCTCTCTGACTCCCCGCCCAGCTTCAGCGGCTCCTGCGGCAGGATTCGCGGTCCAGTCCCCAATAGGAGGCGCATGACATCATCAGCGCCGAGTGTCATTGGCTGCGCAGCCCCTGCCGGCAGGACGCTGTCTCCAGTGGCCAGAAAGTTAGCTCTGCCCCAGGCAGAAGTCCTGTGGCCGTTACAGGGGGTGAAGTTTGGGGAACTTCGGACTTTGCCTTCCCTGGGTGACCAGTGTCCTTTGATGAGAGGGGCTCCTATGCCCAACAAAACACAGAAAAACCCACAAATGTTTATTAAGAACATTCTAGTGTGGAGACCGTCCGCAGAGTGCGTTCTCCCTGCAGAAGAGGTGCCGGCCCTGGCATGGCTTCTCCCCCTCCTCGTGGGGCAGAGGCCTGGGGCCCGTGGGCTCAGGGCCCCTGGAAGGTGTCTCCCCGGGCCCAGGTGGCTGTGACAGCAGCATGCCTGTCCGCGCTCCCAGGTCCCTTTCTGGCTGAGGAACCTGCCTGCCGAGGGCCCCTTAGAGGTAGTGCAGACGGGAGCCCGGAGGCCCTGTCTTCATGTCCGATTCCCCAGGTTCCACGTGTCAGGAGGCCCAGTGCCACGTCCTGGGCCTCCGGGCCAGCTGGGGTGGTCACAGCAGGGCCTGGTTCCTGCGATGGTGCGAGGGGCTGCCACATATGCAGTGCCATCACCGGGCCTCACGCGCTTTAGTCTTGACTTGATGTCCTCTCGCCTGCCGGCCGCGTTGTAACCCACCAGGAACCTCCCGGTGTCTCAACCACGTTCTCTGTGAACGTGGCCTCGTGGCAGCACAGCCCAGAGCTGTAGGAGGGTCAAAGGGGAAGTTCCTGTGAAATACGCCGGGCTCCAGGCGCGGTCAGTGCTGGGTAAATGGCGGCTGTGCTGCCCTCAAAACCCTAGACCAGTGGTTCTCAACCTTCTGGCCCTTTAAATACAGTTCCTCATGTTGTGACCCAACCATAAACTTATTTTCGTTGCTACTTCATAACTGTCATGTTGCTACTGTGATGAATCGTCATGTAAATATCTGATGTGCAGGATGGTCTTAGGCGACCCCTGTGAAAGGGTCGTTCGACCGCCAGAGGGGTCGCGACCCACAGGCTGAGAACCGCTGCCCCAGACCCTCCCTCCAGTCCCATCTGGTTCCAGGCATCGTTCGGGCAGCTTTGCCCTCCGGTGTGTGGCGCTGTCTTCCCCTTACAGCCACCTAGTCTCCAAAGCAACATTGGAGGAAAGATCTTTCCCAGGTGGACAGTCTCCTCTCCCGGGAGAGAGCAGGACCGCGCCATAGAAATTACTGTAGAAATGGACGTTACGGCCCATTGGCCACTGCTCTGCTGAGAAGGCCCTGCTCAGCCCCCCACTCCCGGGTGAGGACAGGCTCCTGGCTCCCGGGCGGCCCGCAGGTGCAGCGAGCTCTGGAGTCCGGGCCTGGGAAGGGACGGGGGGCGCCAGCGGCTGCCTGCGGCTGATCCGCGCTGTGGGCTGATGCCACTGCAGCTGCTGTCCGGTGGCGTCACTGTATTCTCTCCCCAACACAGATGAAAGAGAGTTAAAAAAATGGTGGGGTGACTCACTAGGCATGGGGTGTGAGGAAGAGGAAGGCCGGAAACGTGGGAAGGTCACCCCTGCACCCCGGCTCCCATGCTGTTCTCTGTTTAGGGAGAAGCCTGTGGAGTAAGCCCTCACCTCGTCAGGGGCAGCTCAGCCCTAGGAGTGGGATCAGCTGGCCGAGCAGGTAGGCGGGGCCGGGAGCCAGGAAGGCAGAGGGCAGGGGCCGGGGCTGGGGACAAGGAGGAAGGATGTGCAGGGCCTGGCCCCGTGGGACCGAGTGGGCCAGCTCTAGCCCCCGGGTCATGGACAGGGGGTGCGAGTGGGCGGGTGCCCTCCTTCCGTCAGCTTCTACCATGAACCTGTATGTTCGCTGCCAGGTGGCAGTGTTAGTTTGAAGAGCACCACATGCATCATTTCTTTCTTTTTTTAAAAAAAATATATTTTATTGATTTTTTTACAGAGAGGAAGGAAGAGGGATAGAGAGGCAGAAACATCGATGAGAGAGAAACATCGATCAGCTGCCTCCTACACACTCCCTACTGGGGATGTGTCCGCAACCAAGGTACATGCCCTTGACCAGAATCGAACCCGGGACCCCTGAGTCCGCAGGCAGACGCTCTATCCACTGAGCCAAACTGGCCAGGGCTCTTTTTTTAAAAAATATTTTTTTATTGATTTCAGAGAGGAAGGGAGAGTGATAGAAACATTAATGATGAGAGAGAATCATGGATCAGCTGTCTCCTGCACGCCCCCCATTGGGGATGGAGCCCGAAACCCGGGCATGTGCCCTAACTGGGAATCGAACCGTGACCTCCTGGCTCATAGGTCGACGCTCAACCACTGAGCAACACTGGCCAGGCCATCACGTGGATCTGGACAGCCTTTTCCAGGCTTGGGGGTGCAGCAGTGCCATGCTGCGGGCCTCTAGGGGAGAGGGCTGCCCCGCCTTGGCATGGGAGAGGTGGCGATCTGGTTGGGTGTCTGACAGCTCAGGCCCTGGAGTGACCCTGCCCCAGGAGGTTGCTGTGGGGGAAGCAGCTGCAGGTGGGGAGGGGGAGCATGAGAAAAGGCAGCAACTGAGAAGGTAGCCCCCTCCCTCTCAGCCCTGGACCCCCATCCTCACTGCTCCCCAGGCCCTGGCTGTGCAGGTCCAGAGGCCGGGCCTGGCTGGGGCAGGCGGGAGGGGCAGAGATGCTCATTGCTGTAGGATGGACTCCTTTCCTCTGAGCTCCTGGGCACCTCACCTCGGAGGCAGGCCCAGAGGGAGGACTCAGTGGGCCCACGGGGTGGACTGCGCAGCCCCGGCTGGGGCAGGAACAGGGGGAGTGGGAGACAAGGGCCGCCCATTTCTTCTCTGCTCCAGTCCTTGCAAGAACCCAGAGACTGGCCCTGTATCACCCACATCTTAGGAATGAGAACACCGAGAGGCTAACGGACTTGCCCAGCATCACCCAGCTGGTAAGTGGGGGACCCTGGGCTCCCATGGAGGCTGCACAGGCCTCCCTGGAAGCACTGAGAGTTCACAGCTGCTGGGGGGAGGCGGGTGTCCCAGCCTGGCCGCCTCTCTGGCTCAGGAGCTCCATGGTAACCCTCAGCCGTGGCCCAGGCTGTGCGGTGGCTCTCACTCCCTGTGGGGTTTGCCTCTCCTGGTCCCCAGAGCTCACGCTGCCACTGGCTGCGCTGCTGAAATGATCAATAAGACAGCCAGTTGGCGTGTGACATGCGTGCCTGCAGCTAGCCACAAGCAGCCCCAGCCCGGCCCTGTGTTTTCTGAGTGTGTGTACATGCGTGTGCGTGTTCCAAGGGGGCAGTAGTGTGTGGGGAGGGGAAAGCACGACACTTGTTTTTGTCAGCCGGCTGACTGCTCAGTGACAGGAGCCGCCTGGGCCCCCAGCTGCTCTGCCATTTCTCTCCTCACAAGCCTGCCTGATCCCGAGCAGAGATAAAAGCAGATTTCCGCTTCTGCTCCCTGGGATCCAGGCGCAGACCCTGCAGGCAGCTGCTCCCGACCGCTCTTGCAGCCGTTCATTCCCCCCCCCCCCCCCCCCCCGCATGCCTCATGCCTCTCTCCCCATCCAGCAGCTGGGCCCACCCAGCGAGGGTGCCCCGCGGCCCTGCCCCTGCCCGTCAGGAAGCGGGAGATGGAGGGGTTCTCTGGACAGCAGCACCTCGCATCTGAAGGGGAGGAAGGGAAGGGGAGCCCGAGGGGACCACGCGGAAGCCCTGGGAAGGGGCTGCTGGGCCTGTCGGAGCCTCCAAAGTAGGGCAGGTGGAGGCCGGGGAGGAGTCACCCCAGGGCAGGCGCTGTGTGCGGGGACCACGTCAGAGCCCGGCTGCCCACTTGACAGGGGCCATGGGTTCGAGCCACCTGTCTCAGCGCCTGTCAGCCTGTCTTTCTCCCGGGAGGCAGGGCCTTCCTGGTGACAGGGCTGTCAGGCTGCGGGCCAGAGGGCACTGTGCCCAGACTGTCTGCTCCCTGATCGTCTTCACATCCTCTCTCTCATCCGCGTGCCATGTCCCTGTCACTCCATCTCGCCTCTGCTCTCTGCCATTTCCGAGTTGCCTGTCTCCTTCCACTGGGCTGAGGAACTGGCAGGCCAAGGTCAGCGAGCTGTGCCGGGCTGGCTCCCAGCCCAGACACACAGCCAGTGACACCCCTTTGCAGCGTTCAGAGCGGCTCAGGAGATGGTGGCTCCTCCAGGGACCCACTCCGGATGGAGGGAGGGAGGGAGGAAGGGGCTGGGGCGGTGGGGGC